TTTTTTTTTTTTTTTTTTTTGAGTTGTAGTCTCCGTCGCCCAGGCTGGAGTGCAGTGGCATGCTCACGCCACCCCAGCATCGACCTGCTGGCAATTTTTCCACTTCAGCCTCCCAAGTACCCAGTACCACACCTGGCTAATTTTTTTTTTGTATTATTGTAGAGATGAAGTCTTGCCAAGTTGCCCAGGCTGGTCTCAAACCCGCGGACTCCCAAAGTGCTGGGATTATAGGCTGAGCCACTGAACGCGGCCAATATTGTTTAATAAAATACAATAATACAGTGTCATCATTTTTGGCTTAAAATATCTTTTTTCCTCTCTGAGGATTTCAGTAGTGTTCACTTAAAATATCTTTATCAGTAATACAGAGCTACATCTTTTAAAGTAGTTCTAGCATTTCATTGTATGAATATCTAAGCATGTAATCATCCCTGTCTTTTCAAACAACCCAACTTGTTGCAAGGATAAATTGAACCAATCTAAATCTTCCATGTAAGTCCCACCCACTGAATTTTTTCCACTCTTAAGACATATACCCCTCTGCCATGTGACTACATCCTTAATTCCGTGAGCGTTCCTATAACAGGTCCTGACCTCACCCACCACTACCCCATCCCTGGCCCCCTCTGTTCACACCTAGAATGCCATTCACATTAGGATCTCTAGAGATGAACAACTTGTTCCGGATAGGGTCTGGCTGATTCAAGCCAAGTACCAACTAAAGAGCACAGAGACACCAAGGAGCCTTGAGATCTGGATATGCCATTTTTATAAATGCACACCAAGGTTTACCAGCTCTTTAAGCAGCTGAGTTTTCCTGAGAGCTCTGTGGCCTGGAAATAATACTGCTCCCTCACTTTCTAACTGTGAAATGAAATTACCCATTTCACCTCCCTATGTCATTTTATTTGTCTATCAAACAGGCTAATGAGGGCCAAGCATGGTGGATCACGCCTGTAATCCCAGTGCTTGGGTGCCCAAGGTGGGAGGATCGCTTAAGGCCAGAAATTCAAGACCAGCTTGGGCAACATAGTGAAACCTCATCTACACACACACACACAAAAAAAACATTATTGGGGCATGGTGGTATGTAAACTCAGAAGCTGTAGTCTCTGCTGCTTGGAAGGCTGAGGTGAGAGGATTGCTTGAGCCCAGGAGGTCGAGGCTGCTGTGAGTTATAATCACACCACTGCACCCCAGCCTTGGCAACAGAGTGAGACCCTGTCTCTTGGAGAAACAAAAACAACAAAAAAACCAGGCTAATGATAACACATGATTGATATAAGAATAAAAAAAAAAACTACAGAAGTAAAAGTACCAGGCATTCGGGACATGGCAGTGATAAAAGTTATCATAACTCTTGACATATACAAAACTTTACATCAGCAAAGAGTCTGAGAGTGGCTGGGCCACAAGGTGACCTCTTATGTGAACCCCCAATCAGATCCCCCAACTTCAGTCTATGCAATTCATTTTGTTTAATGCTTCACGCAGCACTTGAATTTGGCCATCTTAAGTGGACCGTTTAACTCATCCTGCCTATTTTGAACCTTCATTTTGTCAAAATCCTGGTTTACCCTCCCCAGCTACACGACTCCGTCAACAGCCGTGTTGCAAGTTCCTCCACAGATGCCCCTGTAGGTTTCGTAAACTCAAAAGCTGTTAGTCACCTTTATGTCTTCCATTGTACACTGAAAATAATAGGCACACACCACCCTGTAGGAGGAAACAAAACCCTGAAAACATGTTCAAACACACAATCCAGTGTCTGTTCCTGTCAGGGCCACAAGGACACCAGAAAAGGCATGAAAGGTGTCACTTTGTCAAAGCCTGGATTCCTCCAGCTCTGACCCCTCTCCCACCTCAGAAGTTTTGGCAAAGGCCTGCTTCCTTCTCCTGAGAGACCCAACCCCATGCCCAACAAGCTCACCCAATTTCCATCTATTCTTCAAATCATCTTCCTTTTGGCCATCATTTTTTACTATGCACACACTAATCCCAGCTTCTCAGCACCCAGCCCCGCCACACCACCGACTTTCACTCCTGTGCTTCTGTAGAACATACTTCACCCATGACCCCTTTCTGCGGCTTCTCCCTGTCACATGCTCTTGGGTCTGTCCCAGTCACCTGCTCTCCCTGTCCCTCTTTCCCACTCCTTCCTAGCACCACCACTTATCTTCAGGTATAGGCAACCTCCTGGCTTCAAGGCCCATACCACCTACTCACTTGTACCCTGTATCTCCAGAAAGAGTTTTCTTCTAGGCCAGGCATCCTTGTTCTCACTGCTTTCTCTGAAGTAACCTTCCATTGTCCCAAGACCCTGAAGCCTTCTATCCCCTTACATGGACCCCTTTGTGACCGCATGTCCTTTAGACACAAATGCCCCTAAGAGAATCGACTGTTGTCTCCACAGCCTACATGCTTTCTCTCAGAGGCCTTTTTCAGTAACCAGACCTCAACTATGACCCTAATACCAATGATTTCCAAATGTAACTCTGATCTCTCTCATGAGCTGGGGCTGCCAGACAATTCTAGGTGGCAATTTGGGCCAAAGTCCTAAATCCAGTACACCTAAAGCTGACCATTCATTCCTCCACCAAATTTCCCATTATTCTCCCTGTCACATCCTAACACCAGCCAACTCTGGTTTTTACCTCCTCAGTGTCTTCAATCCTGCTTCTCCTTGCCACTCTTAGCAACTTGCAGTAGTGCAGGCTGCAGGAAAACCACAGCAGAGCCCTTTGAAGCCGGGGGCCAGGGCAGCGGCCTCTCATACCTTGATCATACCTATTTGCATAGGGCCGGGCTGGATGGCTCAGCCTGTAATCCCAGCACTTTGGGAGGCCGAGGTGAGTGGATTGCCTGAGCCTTCAGGTTTGAGACCAGCCCAGGCAACTTGGCATGACCTTGTCTCTACAATAAATCAAAAATTCAGCCAGGCGTGGTAGCACGTGCCTGTAGTTCTGGCTACTTGGAAGGCTGAGGTGGAAGGATCGCCAGAGCCCAGTGGGTCAACACTAGGGTGGCCATGAGTCCACTGCATTCCAGCCTGGGCGACAGCATGAGACTCCAACTCAAAAACAAACAAAAAATATATATTTTCATAAACTACAAAACTACTCCAAATAAAGAAAAGTATCAATAATGACAAAGATATAACAAGATTCTATTCAGGGAAGTATGAATAAACCAGAAAC